GAGTTCAGTTTCGAAACGTGTATCGTTCATAGACACGGGTGTTCTTTCTTCGAATAATTTTTTCCACCCTTGTCTTTTCGTTTTCTTTTTTTCTTTCTTTTCTTTTACTTCAATTCCCAAGATACACACAGAGAATCACCGTGAACTCGTCACTATGTTTTATTTTTTTTTTTGTTCATTTTCTCTTTTCTCTTTAATCCTTACGTTCAGTTCATCCCAGAAATAGTTTTTAACGGAACGATAACGTAAGTTATACATTCGGTAGGCCCGTTACGTTTTTAAAAACAATAACAGTATCTGCATATATAACACGTGGTAAATATACATATATATTTATAAATATACATATACATATAGGTATGTACATGTGTATGTATATATATATATAATATGTTTATATACGAATATGTTTACAGTTTCACGTACACGCGTATGTATATTTTAAATGTACATGCGGAGCCGCGGGAAAATCGAACACGAGCGAATCCGGGATGTTCGATTTCACCGGGGGGTGTCTCCGCAAATTCAACGACGAGAACTCTACAATCGAAACGGGCGACGTGTTAATTTAATCACTTCGAGATTTACTCGCAAACGGACCACAGTTCGCGCCCATCGATTATAACAGTTTTATCCGTAAAACGAGGAAAATTACGAAATGATACTATTAAAAGTATTATAATCGAGGGATGCAAAGTTGCAACAAAAACTAGCGTGGTCCATGCCTGCGAGTGAAGATCGCCGAAGCGTATACCTTTTTTTCCTTTCTCTTTCTCGCTCTGTCTCTCGGAAGAGGGGTTTCAAATTTCCCGCCAATTTGTTCGTTTCGATCGACCGAGTTCCCTGTACAGGTAGCGCATAGTCTAAGGTCGTTACTGTACGAAGGTATCGCGATAGAAAGCATTGTGTTCTTTGCACGGAGGAAACTGAATCGATCATAGTCCCTATAATTAGCGGGTTTTCGTGCACGAAATGAGGAGATGAAACTAGGATCAATCGAACATCGACGAAAATGCTTGCGAAAGCTTGCCTCGTCACCGATACGAAAATAAATAATGCAAAGACGATTCGATGATTTCTGAAAAACGGAACAGTGTGTTCTCCGCAGAAAGGTTACGTGTATCGCATACGATTGAAATCGTGATTATAATCAAACGTATATTTTTTGCCTTTTTTTCTTTTATTTCCTGTTGCACGGACACGGCTATCGATTTGTACAAACATCGCTGACGTTTCTTGAACGAAATTGCACTACCACTTGCACGCAATGTACATATATATTTCTGGTATACTATATATATAGTCGGATATATAGTATACATTTATATATACATATAAATATATAAAAAGGAAACATTGATATATATATATATGTATAGACTATTACCGACAGAAACTCGATATTTGGAAGTTGAGAGACATCGTGTTTGCGAAAAATACTCAATGCTTCGCCTCGAGATACCTCGGAGAGGACGCGTTTACTTGAAGTCATTTCAATTGTTTACATCTACAGAAGAAGGTATGATAGATATACGTATATACAAGACGCTACACTCCATGAGAACATATTATTATTTTAATACTAAAACCTTTTTTGGTGGTATTTATTATTGTTTTAATTTAATAATAGATTATTAATATCTACTAAAGTATTTTCCTTTGTCTCTTATATTTTGTTTTTATCTCTCTTCGTACTTTATTCTCTCACTCTCGCTCACTCTCTCCCTCTCTCTCTCTCCCACCCTTTCGCTCTGTCCCTTTCTCTCTATCTCTTTCTCTCACATCTAACTATCTCACTTTTATTCTCTTGCACGTTTATATTTCTTTTCTCCGAATAAAGTCGATGGTTTTGCATCGGGGGATATCGTCGCATCCCTGCTTTTTCTTTCTTTTTTTTTTTTTTTTTTTTACTCGTTTCTCTTACTTTTTTTTTCTTTTCTTTTGTCCAGAAAAAATTCTGCATCCTCGTTACGGTATATCGTCCACGGATATCGTTGGAAAATATATATATATGTATGTTTGTATATATATATATAGTTTGCCGAGTGGGGCGAAAAGCGGAATGGAACGGAACGAAACGAAAAAAATAATGCTTCTGTACATTTGTCGTATCTGCTTAGAACCATTTGGTGTGCATTACCTTTTTGTTTGTTTTTGTTTTTTTTTTTTTGTTTGTTTGTTTAAACTGGACATCTCTGAACGATCTCTTAGTCCTACTTGTCGCCGTCTTCGGGGTCTTTAAGCGTGTGCCATTGAGCAATAGGACGTCTCGGGGATGCCAACATGTCGGACCAGTGTCTCAACTCTGTTCCGTTCGCGTTGTACCCCAATATGACCTTCCCAATGGGTTCTGAGGTGCCGATACGATCGTAGTCGACTACCGTGACAACCAATTGCACTTTCTAAACGTGAAATCACGCATTAGTGCATTGCCTTCTCACGGGGATACTGTTAGTTTTTGCCATAACTTCCGAATCGTAAGGGTTTCTTAGCGAAATGTTACGCGAAGCGTAGTAAAAAATTTATGTATAAAGGATTTGTGCAAGAGGTAAAGCTATAAGGGGAAAGGAATTTATGTTTCCTTAGGCAAATCTAGTCTACTGTAAGACATACAGGATGTTTCAGAATTATAGATTCATCGAAGAGTAGGTGATAGAGAATGACGAAAGAAACATTTTTTGTTAGATAGGTATGTGTCTGTTCTCGACTGGTTTTTTAGTTGTAGAGCTTGAAATGTGTAGAACTTAAGCGCCTAGCGACGAGCAACCCGTCGTACACCAAACGTGGTTTCGCGTGGTTTCAACAGAGTTTTAAGTAGGAAATTGTGTATCACCTAGTATGGAGACATTATAATTGTATTGTTCGAGATTTATCTGAGATAATTGATTAAAAATTTTCATTTTGTAGTGAAAGTATAGTTGGTTATTCGATGTGAAGTGCACAAATCCTGTACTTTCTAATATTTGTCACTAAGAACCAACGTAAAATCCAAAGTATGTCTTTCAAACGAAAAATTTTCATTTCATCATTTTCTACCCTTTTCTCTTCGATGTATCTGTAGTTATGAAATATTCTGTATACCGGTAAATATTGTACAATATTTCAGATGAATAAAGAAATATTTTTTCGTAATTTTAGATATAGCAGTAGGAATATATGCGCGTATGCAAGCGATAAAGAGAGATTATTTAAGAAACTTACATTTTTTTTACTTTAAAGGAGGTGTTCCTTCTTTAGACATGTCTGACCTTCGGTTTAAAGAGCATGCAAAAAGCGTTTAAGCGTAATTCTTAATATCGCGGAAGCTTTTTATGCGATATTATACAGCAGAGAATATGTATCGTATTAAAATATCTTACGATCCGGAAGTATGGCAATTTTTAAAGAGCTTACACTAAAATTGGCCCCTTCATAAAGTGCCCGTTTTGCTCCCTTTTCATTTTTTAAATATACAATCAAGATATAAAAATCAAGAAAAAGACAGTTTTAATTGTACCAAAAATAAAAGTTACAAAGAACTCTCTTGTTCGTTAATAGAATAATTGCTTACTCGAGTGAAAATGACGCGCATTACGTCGCTGTCACCTTATGAAGGGTTTTTTTTTATCAACGCATTACACACGGATCATTTATCCTTGCTTTCAATGGCTTTATTTTTATATGCAATAACAAACCATCCGTTTGCAATGGTTCTAGATTATTTAGCAAACTTCTTACGTTACTAAAAAGAAAAAAATATTATAAATAAAGTTATTGTCGTGGTTTCTGTCTAAAGAAATAATTGGAAGGAAAAAAGTCGTGCTAGTTTAATTATTAGAAGTAAAAATGTTAGAGAAAATGTTAGCGCTACGTGTTACTGTTACCTGTGTCTGTGAACTGTGTCAAACGAAATAAACTGTAGTAGATCAATTCTGAGGATTCGTACCTGTATTTGCTCGAAGGGTACCTCAAAAGTGAATGATTCGTTGTAATACGGATTAAGGGTGCACTTTTTAATGGACGTTTTCTTTTTCTTCAATCTCTTCCCGTTTTGCACCAGAGCGATCTTCACGTAAGGATCCGACAACCCGCCTACGTCCATTTTCTTCAGGTTCTTCGCCTCGAGGATAACCACTGTCAATTTGCCTGCTGTCGGCACGTATCGAAGCGAGAAGCAGATATCTCCAAGTTTATTATCCTGCAATGAATAAATTTGCATGAATCTTCTTACCAATTTCTTTAAATCTGAATAATTTAGCAGAAAGATTGGTATTATTGGTTCAGTAGTTGAACTTTCTAGAGAAGAAAAAGAAAACAACAATTACACTGACGAAGTAGGTAACATAATATTTCTTTTCTCTTTCTTTTGCTGAGTTAGATTATTAAATTAAGTGGGTTATTTGCACCGAGGTAACGTGAAAGTGTTGAAGGTGTAAATGTTTTGCAACATGACATAATTTTCATTGTTCAGTTGTTGAATTGTTACAATTACGTTAGGTATAAAATTGTAAAGTTTGTTGTCTAAATGAGATTTCGTGTAACTTGAAATCTTTTTTTTTCTGGAACAATAGTTTTGGTGAAATTTATAAGAGTAACAGTTTCTCCTTTAAAACAATGAAAAATGAAGCACGTGATATTTCGAGCAAACATTCTGGCAAGCAATGAATCATTTTCGAACGCGATCTAGCGAAATACCAAAGCGAATTTATAACTAAAATGATAGGTATATAAATATACGCGTAGAAAATTCATTCGACTAGAACTTACTATTAGTCACAGCCTGAAATTCGTGGAAGAATATCTACCACTCGATATACATAATGTTTACGTATCATTAACGAGCTACTTTAATAAATTCGTGTTAATTACTTAACAGTAAATTTCATTGTTCCAAAGTATCATTTCTAACATTTATAAAATGTTCACGAATTTCTATCAAAGAAAATGGCAAAATTGTATCGAATAGAGTACGTTTGAAATGAATTTACCTGGCCGCCTTCGCCCTCGACGCTCTGCAAATCCCTCCATTCCTCGATCGTTTGAGCCAGATCGACCGTGCACAGGAGAACCTTCACCTCACCGATCTGATCGTGTTTCGAGAACCTATCGAAGTCGAAGATCGCGAAAACGAGTGTCTTGTTCACGATGTCTGAGTATGGTACCTGACAAACGAACGTTCTCTCGTTAATTTTCCGCAAGAAGAAAAAGTGGGTTAAGCCTCCATTGACTAGTCGTCAAGACGATGTCATTGAGAGAGTAGAAACGCTTACTGACCTTGAACGTGAAAGTCTCATTGAAGACCGGATTGAGCGTTTTCCTATGTACTTTCGTTTCGAATTTCTTCTTCTTGTCCGGCAGCAGATAGACCTTCACGTACGGATCAGATGTGCCGCCCATGTCCAAAGCTGGCAACTCTTGGGCTTGTATCACTGTTACTGCCAGGTTGCTCGTGTTGAAATCGTACTCGAGCTGTGAACGTTGATTGATTAGTATGTTAATTGGTTTCACCAAGGAGAATGGGTCTATGACAATTTTTTGGATCATTAAAAATTGGATAAGATAGTTAAGATGAATATTAGATAAAAAAATTTCCACATTGGTTGATTAGTATATTAATTGGTTTCACCAGGGAGAATGGATCTATGGCAATTTTGTGGATCATTAAAAATTAGATGAAGCAGTTAAGATGAAAATTAGAGAAAGTGTTTCCACACTAAAGGTATAATTTTGTTTTAATGTTTTAACAGTGGTGCAAATATTTACAACATATATTTTCTTCTACATTTTAGTTTTATACTATTTACAAGTGAATTAATATTCATGTTTGTAGATTGTACATTAAATTCTGCTCTTTTCATATATTACAAGAATAATATGAAATATATAAAACTAATAATAGCAACTCTCTTTCATTTACAAGACTTCTAACAAAAAATTCTAAAAGAAACTTTTCTTCTGCTATCTGTTATAAAATAATAAAGAAGTGATTGAACTGTAATAGCATAAGCAACAGTGAATTGTAGATAATTTGCCCATCAGTTCATATCTTCCATTCAAACAAATTGCAGAAACTTTTTTTCTTTTTTAAAGTAAAAGTCGAGAAATTCCATGAAAAACTCAAAGATTCACCTTAAACTGAAGTTTTCCAAGTTTCACCTCACTTTGTTTACTCTCGCCTTCATCCGGTTCCTCAGCATTGTCGGTCAATTCTTCCATATCCGGCTGGACCTTAACAAATCGAAGTGGATTCCACGAGTGTAGAATGTGCGTCTAATATCTACATGAGGACACGGAACACCGAGGACGTACCTTGTCTTTGTACGTGCTGCCCAATAGCTGCACGGATTTTAGGTCCACCGCTCCTTTCAACCCTTTCTTTCCATCCTTTGATCGTCTTTTTCGACACCATCTTCTCACGCAGCAGAAGCAAATTCCAAGTACTAATAGGCCTACGGCTACTCAAGCGAGAAACGAGAAAATCGAAAATCGAATTAAAAGTGGCGCGCTCGATGGGTAAGCTAGTAAGGAAGTACATATAGGGGGTAGGGAAATATGGCGTCTCCTATAGTGCGTGTGGTACCTAACCCAAGCGCAGTTCGTGAAAGCAGTTTGTAACGTTTGCTATTTTTCGTTCTGCTTATGTGGTGAATGTGAATTTTTTGACGAATGAATGTGGCACGTGTATGTGAGATATTAGTAAAATTAATTGATGTGATGTAACGAGTGTTGTCGAGTGTCTATTAACACTCGATGCAACTGGAACAAAGGAAATTCTCGTGATTAATGTTGTTCGTTCAGGTTATGTTCCACGATGTTTGTTTTCTGAGTTATCTGAAAGAGTAAATTGTTTCAGAGGCAATTGTTGGCTTAATTAGAGACACTGTCCTTGCGTGAAGTTTTCAGATATCACACTTTTCGTACAATAAATTATATAATGATATAATAGAAATTATAACAAGCATGTGTTAAAAGACTAGTGATGTTAGAATATTTTAATATATCTATGGTAGTAGGACAATTGAAGTATTTAGAATGTAATAGCTAAGATTATTATGAGAAATGAATTTGGAAAATGCATTCTTTTACATTATAATTGCATTGTTATTTGTCACTTGTGTGTGCGTCATTTGTTAGACTTACGCAGAAGTTGTCTATCTGAAAACTTTTTCTCATCATTGTAGTATCACTGTATTATAGTATGACAAGTTGGGTAATTTATAATTTCGTTTTTTCACCTGTTGGTTGTCAAAACTTTCATTACCAATTGGATCAAGATGCGTAAGAAATTATTAAGTTCTTTAATATTATATCACATTGAAATACGTATATCTATAATATGTATTGTAAGATTATGAAGAAATTGAACGAATATACTTCCTTTATGTTAAAATTCAATGTTTCTTTACTATTTTATTAATGTAACATTCGGTCTTAAAATTATGTCATATTCTTTAATATTCTTAATACATTCAGTACATTTTACTATTATTTAGTTTCTAACCTGTACTCATAGCTAAAACCGAATTTATAACAATACTTGAAATCTCAAGAAAAAGGAAAAGTTTTGAAAAATCAAATTAAAAATTCCCAAAATGTCGAACATCACGGGTTTCTTTGAAATAAAACTAAAAATATGTATAACTACTTTGGGTTGCAGTCACGGCGTCAGTATTTAAAGTATTGCGTAAATCATAAAGTGTTCACAATCGTCTGCTTTTACCTATTAAAATCATTTCGAGTCCCCATGTTGGTATTCCCATTTCCTCCGCGATCTCCTTGCCGATGTTTTCCACCTGATTCTCAAAAGCTTTTCCTGCAGTTTCTGTTGCCCCTTCCGACTCTGTGGCTGTGAAACTCAAGCAACGTTAGTCGTGTCGTGACACCGTAAAAAAAATTCGCGCGATCTTTATCACAGAGACGAAAGAAAGCACGGTTTTGAGGCGTCGTTTACCTTCTTTTATTTCCATCTCTGTGCTCAGTATAGTTTTTAACGTCGATTCAACGACATCCTCCACCGGTTGTTGGTCTTCTTCCGGCACCTTCTCTGCCTCTCGCTTGACAACAGGCATTTTCTGAATCAAAAGATTGGTACAGAAATTTCAGTACATTTTAAACATTCTTCGACTATTTTTAAAATAATGGTGAAAAGTGTTCAATTTATTCTAAGCGACAGTGTATTATTTCAGTTTTTTGCGTCTTTATGAGTTTCAAGCGTCAAACCTAACCTAACATAACTACTATTTGACAATCATATTCTATTTGTTTTAAGTGTCAAAGGGATAACCTAACCTAATATAACCATTATTCAACAATTATACATAAAGATGTTGTAAATTGTGAACATCTAAGAAATTATCAAAAACATTTCGAAATTCAAATGGAGTTGTATGAAAAGAAGATAATAAAAAAGTTAGAAAATAACATTAACCCTGTAACATCAAAATATTAGTAATATTTACGCAAAAAATTCTAACAAGAATATTTAAAGGAGAATATTTTTATATTTAATTCGCAGTCGCTTTTAGAATGCATATGTTCAATCTGAAATATTTGCACGAGATACTATATATTTCAGCGATACTGCAGCAAGTGCATTTCTTTTTTTAAGTGTGTCATGGACTTCGATCGAAAAAAATAGCCCTCTTCTGTGAAGTAGTAAAATTCTTCTATAGCTCACCGTCGGGATATAAAGCTCGTGGCGAAAACAACGGGACTCCTTGAATTCTATTTTCTTCGTTTGAAATTCTGTTCCCAAAGTTGCTCCTCTCTCTCTCTCTCTCTCTCTCTCTCTCTCTCTCTACGTGAGCTCGAGATCTGGTGTTGGTCATAAACACACTTTCAGAAGGGAAATTCACGAGCTCGAAGAAAATCCAGAAACAAGTTTAAAGCTCGCTTTCTTAGTCACGTCGGTGTGCGTGTTAATTAAACGTGTATGAGTGTATATAAAATTCGCGAGGGAAATGCCGTTCCTCGACTATAATTTTAATTTAGGTTCTTTAAATTTACATAAGAATTCTTGAATACATCTTGAGAATTTTTTTTTTAATTTGACTTGATCTTTTAATTCAATTGAAATTTGTAGCGGATGAGGATGTCCATCAAGCGTTTAATTTTTATTTTTGTAATTTTATTGTGATTTCATTACTATTCTTAAAAAAAATCTTTTAATGTTTCTTTTTTTTTACAAATACCCTGCTGTGTTACTTTCGCAGCTAAGAATCTCTTTGCATTCTGATCTCATTTATGTATTTTAATATTTCTGTGACGATTTCGTCGCGATGAAATTCCTTAGAAACTGAAATAATTTGCTTCGAGGACAATTACGTTCGGGAATTCTCAAGTTTTGAGATAGGAAAATAAATTTGAAAGCTGGAGAGTAGTACTTAAATTGTAAGATATTTCTGTTATTTCATAAGTTTCTTTGAAAATCCAATTTATGTCCGCGATTTTCCGAGGAACGTTTTGTTATAATTGGATTAGCAGACACACTTGATTGTCACAGAGTTATTACGTCACTATCGATTCACAGTTTTATTGTACTCGTTAACATTTAAAGAACAAGTCGCATATTTCTAGTGCATTTAATTGTCAAAACGAATCACGAAGTTTCTCTCATTCTCTTTGAATATCATTACCATTATTTATTATCAACAAACACTATATTTAGCAATGACAACTCTTCTCGAACCATATTTATTTCTTACGTCACTCGAGTCTTGTTAAAAGAAATTACAGAACGTTAGATTATCTTCAGAAGCTTTCTATCGTTATTAAAATCATAACATTGTTATTCGTTGCTGTTAAACTTTAATTCTTCAATTTTTTACAATATCTTCAAATCCTTTCGATTTTATCAAAACCCAAGAATATAATTGTTTTCTAATTAAAAATTCCAAATTCAATTCTAAACACAGAATAAATTCCGGAAATACAAAGTATCACATATTCGATCATAAATCGTACAACTGAACTTCA